GCTGAACTAACCGAGATAAGTGAGGGGTTGCTGAGGTGTATGTATGACCTGAGGGTCTGCACACTGGAAAGCCTTTACCCAGCATGGGTCATGCCTTCTCTTCTTAGCCTTCCCTAGATTGTATATTTTGGCCCTCCTCAAATCCAGGAGGCCATGTGGGATTAGGGCCAAATTACATACAGTTGGCTGGGAAGAGTGGCTGGATACTTCGGTGAGGGTCCGATGACCCTGCCTGGCCCTCCTTTAATGAATGAGCACAACTGTCAACAAGCCCAATTGTGACGATGTTTAGCCATCAGGCTCAGTTGAAGTCGTGATGATGGTAGTGGTTTCATGCAGAAGGGACTGCTGGTAGCATCATCTTATTAAAAGGATCTGGAGTTTAAAAGGATTTGGAGCTAGGATCCACATATGAGGGAGACATAGTTTGTCTGTTTTTCTGAGTCTGTGTTACTTCACTTAGTATAACAGTTTCTAGATCTATCCATTTATCTGCAAATTTCATTCTTTCATCTTTCTTTACTGATGAATAGAACTCTTTCTTTACTGATGAATAGAACTCCATTGTGTAAATATACCACATTTTTGTTAGCCACTCGTCAGTTGAGGGACACTTGTTTCCATCTCTTAGTTATTGTGAAAATAGTAGCAACAAACCTGCCACTATACTCAAAGTGTTGATCAGTTCTAGGAATTTTCTGGTGGAACTTTTGGGATACCTTAGGTATAGTATCATATCATCTGCAAAAACTGGTAATTTGACCTCTTCTTTTCCAATTATTACTCCTTTAATTTCCTTCTCCTGTCTTGCTCTAGCAAGAGTTTCTAGCACTATGTTGAAAAGGAGTGGAGATAGTGGACATCCTTGTCTGGTTCCTGATTTCAATGGGAATGCTCCCAGTTCTCCATTTAGAGTGATGTTGGCTGTGGGTTTGTTGTATGAAGCCCAGGTCAGGTTCCAGTCAGGTACACTCAGGTTTCCTTCTAAGGTTTGGATCCCACCACATGGAGGCAGGATCTGGGCCACTCAGGCAGTCCCCTGCGTTCTCAGCCCCCGTGCAGGAGGGAGGCCAGAACCTGGCACTCTTTGGCTCTGTGCTGAGGTCACAGCAGCTACACCAGTCAGGTGACTTGTGTATATTGAACTATCTCTGCATCTCTGGAATAAAGTTGACTTGATCATGGCGAATGATCTTTTTGATGTACATCTGTATGCGATTTGGAAGTATTGTTGAGAATTTTTGCATCCCAACTAAAAAAGCCCAGGCCCAGATGGATTTACAGCAAAATTCTACCAGACATTTAAAAAAGACCTCCAACCAATGCTACTTAAATTATTCAAAATGATAGAAACAGAGGGAGAAACCACAAATTGATTCTATGAAGCCAACATCACTCTAATATCCAAACCAGGTAAAGACACAACCAAAAAAGAAAACTACAGACCCATATCCTTAATGGGTTTTATTTTTATCTATTGAGAAAACTAATTCTGGGTTTTTCATTAAATATACTCATGTGTCCTAACACCACTGATGATGGAGAAACTATTTTCATTAAGAGGTCACTTAGATTTCTCTTTTTCTCTCTCCTTCTCCCCCACATTTATCACATGCATACATGCACACATATACATATATGTGCGCACACATATACATACTAAGAGAAGACGAAAATAATGAATGTGATAAGAAAAGCCAGAAACATTATATAAACAAATGACTCACTCGAAACCCATTAGAAAACTTGGTAAGCTGTCTAGGGGTAAATGCTCACTAAAATAATAAATGAGTTTGTGACTAGAACCAAATGCTGTGGTGTACATACTTTAGGACTGTTTTCTTAGCAAAAGCCCTCATCTCAGGATTGCATCTGAGTTGGCATTCATTTGTATTCTGATGTCTGGAGCAGGTTTCTTTTGCAGCCATTCAAATGGAAAAAATGAAGAAATTGTTTTATCAGTCTGGAAGGACCATCTCTGAATTTTTTTCTTCATAAAATACATATGTACACACACATACACACACACACACACACATTTTTTTTGGATTCATTCTAATGTAACCCATGCTGACCTCAAACTCAGTACTTAGCCAAGGTTGACCTTGAACTTCAGATCCTCTTGTCTCTACCTCCAAAGTGCTAGAATTACAGGTATACACTACTATGCTTGATTTTGTGTGGCTGGGGACTGAACTCAGGAATTCCTGAGTACTAGGCAGACACTCTACCAACTGAGCTATTTCCCTAGTCCTCTTGGCTGATATATTTTAATAAGTATTTATTTAGATAAAAGCTTTTTATTTTTAATGTTTTATATTGGAATTATGTTGTTTGTTTTGTTTTGACAAGGTCTCGCTAGTCCCAGCCCACCTGGAGACCAGGCTGGCCTCCGTGTCACAGAGATCTGCCTGCCTCTGCCTCCGAAGGGCTGGGATTAAAGGTGTGTGCCACCATGCCAGGCTCATTGTAAGTTTTAAAAACTTCTATTGAATTTGTTCTTTGTCAGTGTCCTACATGTATACAGTACGTTCTGATTACAGTGAGCCCCAGTGCTCTCTAGTCTCTGTTTCAACTCAATTAACCATCTCTCTTCCATACAGTTCCCTTTCAAACATTCATATTTTGAGACCCACTGAGTTTAACTAGGATCTTTTTTTGGTTTGTTTTAAAAATAGAATTCTAAATTGTTAGTACAAGGCTGCCGTGCAGTAGTCCACAGGAAAAGAACATTGCTAATTTTCAAATTACCAGGAAACTGGTTCTGCTCAGGGACTACTGAACACACAGTGGATAGGAAGATGGTTAATAACGGAGAGTCATGCTGGATGTGCTGGGGGAAGGTGCGGTTCAAACCAGGAATCAGCATGGAGCACTTCTGTGTTACAATTATTGTTTATTAAGCCTTATTATTATTGTCATAGTTTGATAAATCCTGGGAGTAATCAAAACTTGGACGCTGTATAAAGCTCACAATTTATCAAAACATTGCAAAATGTATCATTAACTTAATCTTAATTCCGGTGAGGTCTTCACCGTAACAACACCTTGGGGAGCAGAGGTCTAAAGCACCTCCATGTTTTTTGGTGTATGACCTTGAGCTGGCTAAGCTTTTGAAACTTCAATTTTCTTAGATGTGAAATGATTTCATCAAGTCATAAAACCCACTTACAGTACACAAGACACATACAGACACACACACACACACACACCCACACACACACACACACCCCACACTACCCTCCTTCAAAACCAACCACACACACACACAAAATCCCAAACAAAAAAGACACACATTTACTTTAATAAATATTTTAGGAGAGACTAAATGATGTTTAAAAATATTTAATAAAGTTAAATTGCCTTTTCTTGGGGTGGGGGTGGAGGTTTGAGACAGGTTGTTCTAATAGCCCTAGCTGACCTGGAACTCACTATGTAGACCAGGCTGGCCTTGATCTCACAGAGACCTGCCTGCCTTTGCCTCCGGAGAGCTGGGATCAAAGGCCTGGCCACTACTTCAGGCTCAGTTAATTGATTTTGAAGGCCGCCAGACATACAGAATGTAGTGGATCTACTATCTTGCTTTGTTTCAGAAGTGTGTCTGGGATATTATATCCCTCGGACTCTTTTGAAGGAACCTCTGTGAAAAGCCACAGGGATTGTTCAGGTTGGCTCTCAGAATGAGGGCTTCTATAGAATGACAAACGCTACAGATGAACATGCTGAGGAAAGAGGCTGCAGTTGTCACTCAGTGTTACAGTTGCTGTCTAGCATGGAGGTCCTGGTTTTGATCCCCAGCACTGCAAAATAAAAAGTAAAGCACTAAATGAAGCAACCTGGAAAAAGTGACTTTTTTTTCTCCAATTATTTTATCAATAGGTGAAAATTTGGTTTCAGAACAGGAGGATGAAATGGCGGAATTCCAAAGAAAAAGAAGGGCTTTCCAGCAGATGTGTCCAAGAAGTGAGCCTTCAGGAAGACACCCTCTCCCGGTCTGCTCTGGGCTTCCCTCCTCCCTGCTCTTCGCTGTGGGAAGTCTCGAGTCCCAGCTGGAGAGAGAATTCTCCAGAACTCGCAGAAGGACTAACCCGGGAGAGTTCAGGGGCCCCGCCCCCAGAAGCCCATTCACTCTGAGGGGCCTTGTATTTGTGTTCTGAGAAAGAAGCAGGCAAGGACGGGCTTCCTGGGGCCGTCTGAAAGGAAGCAGTGCGTCGTGCTGACCTGAAAGAGCCCTTAACCAGTCCTATTTCCACGAAAGCCAGTTAGCTTGTGCCTCATCACTGCCTCACACTAACACCTTGGCGTGATACCTGGCCGGATGCCTTAGGAAACCCGCTTTACTACTCGCCTACTTAGCCTTAGACTCAGGCTCCATGTGCTAAAGGAATAGAACTTCCCGGGAAATACGATAGAACGGAAAGGGGTGAGAGCAAGCAAGGGCTCTGTCCCGGTTCTGAGTACCTGTATATATGTGCGTCTGTGTATATGTATGTAAATGCTCATTAAAATGCACCAGTAGAAACCAGTTCTTCAATTTTACATTGAACAAATTAATTTTCTTTTATATGAAGAAAAAGAAACTATTGCATGAATATTGTTAATTTTTTTTGAAATAGTGTAAAATTTGGACTTTAATGCCATATGATGGCTTCTTTTAGGACCCAGCTGTAGTGAGTTCAAACAGCTTGGCAGCCCTAATCAAGTGAGTCATGGCCAGATACATGTAACTTCCAAGTCTGGAACCGGTTAGGCTATCAGTGAGGAAGGAAGGTACACATTAAGTGTTAATTGGCTTTTGATCCTTTCTTTTAGGGATAGGCCTGGATCATGGTTTGCAAAATGAAATGAATGTTTGGCTGTTAAGAGCTGGTCAGACAAAGAGATCAGAACTGAGCAACTTTTCTAATATCTGGGCCAATGACTTTGTAGTCACTGGCGGAGAATCAATGAAGCTGTGGTCTCACTGCTTTTAGGACATCTCCAATAGGACTTAAAAGCACAATTCTGATGGAATCTGTGATGAACTCTGCTTGCTATAGTCTCCACTTGCTAAGTTTTCCATTTAGTGGGCTCATGCCACATTTATTAGCAATAATAATATTAACAAACAGCACCCAGATGTTTTGTTTTTGGATACCCTGAAATAGTATTTTTATAAAATTACATTTCTGGTAACAATTTGCTTAGTTAACCCAGATATGTTAATTTCAAGTCTGAGGAAAAAAGTTATGCCTTACTTTGAAGGAAATGAAGTATAAAAGGGAAATGATGTGGTTGTAAATGCATCTGTAGACAAGAAATGTGACTCCAATTTCTTTATATGGCATTTTGTTAGTAAGCAAGCCAGGAAACGGTGGGGCTCTGAGCCTGTTTACCGCCTTAGCTGTAGATGTCAGAGGACTTTTGTTTAGAAAAGATAACATTTCAGAAGACATCAGTCCAAATTGACATCAGGAAATAATAATAATAATAATAATAATTATTATTATTATTATTTTGGTCTTTTTGGGACATGGTATCCCTGCAGGCCCAGCTGCCCTGGAACTCACTATGTAGACCAGGCTGGCCTTGAATTCACAGAGATCCACCTGCCTCTGCCTCCCGAGTGCTGGGATTAAAGGTGCGCCACCACGCCTGGCTAGGAAATTATTTTTTAATGAATGGAATTTGAGTTGGTACATCGGTGTCTTTCTCATTCCTTAAAAGTCACCTCAGTGGTCCTTTGTGGGAGGTAGGAGCAGGGATCTGATGCTAGTTTAAGTTTTAAAACCTGTTCCCCAAACTGACACGACATGCTTTCTTTATATATCGTTAACCCTATTTGAGTTTGTAGGGTGCTGTCTATGGGCTGGGATTCTGCTAAGCATTTAGGGTGTATCAACTCATTTCATGCTTATGGTCATAACACGTGGTACAGATCGTGTTACTCTATCAGGGTTCCTGGTACCCATCAAGGGAACCGAGGCACTGTATGCATGAGGTCACCATTCAAGACTATGAGGTTAATAAATTGAAGGGTCTGTTTCAATCAAGTTTCAAATCATAAAATCTTACCAACCCTGTGAGGGATGCAGCACTATGGGATGTATTCACATAACTATGGGATGCGTTAGAAGAGATGCATCTTGGGAACTGTGGTAAGATTTACTGAAGAAGTTCAGAAGCACGTTGCATTCAACGACTTCTCACCAGGGGAAAGGTGTTCTCTTGTGTCCTCCTTTCCATCAGATTTAGAGGTTTAGATAAAGTAAGGAATTGCAGACCTTCAACTATGAAGCCTCTGTAGTCTCTCTCAGAGACCTATAAGATAGTCTTATAGGAGTATCTCAGAGTATAATGGAAATTTCTCTTTTTTCACTATTCACTGCTAAAAATCATGAAGTGCTTGTCTGCGGTCAGTCAGTATTTCACTTGAATGAGAAACCTGTCAAGACCACTGTCCAGGTTGTAGAGATGGATGAATTACTGCATAAACAATTTTCCCCTAGGAGCTCTGAGACTCAGCAGAGGTGTCTCTTTATTTATTAAAGATGTTCATGCTCAAGTGTGCAGGCCAATATTTTAACTGTCTCCCGCTGTGGAACATGTTAAGGCTTTGGGAGGACAGTTTAATGATCATTGGAAAACGTAACGAGGATAGACACGGCACATTTGTGTGCCCTCACACATAAGCACAGACAGTGGATGCACATTTGCCCTCATACACAAACATAGACTGGGTACACATACATGTGCCCTTCTGCTTTTACTTGCCATCTCCGCGAACTGGAGAGAAAGGCTGAAGCTCTGTTCCTTTACTGACAAGCCTCTCCCCTCTTCCCCTCCTTGTGCTCTGCTAACCATCCCTCCCACCTGGCCCGTGTGAGCATTTTTCTGTTCTCTAGATGCAGATTCTTCTGGAATCGATGACACATTAGTATATTTGTTATCTTGTTTCCTGAGAAATTCCACTCCAGTTAGTATGACAACCATGGAAGCCTGGAGGTTGAGGCACTGCAAAAAACGTTCCAATCGACATTGCTGATTGGATGAAATAAATGTTTTTTACACTATTTAAGGATTAGAAATATGTAAACAGGTGAGGGATGACACTGGCTCTGGAGCTAATTAAGACTACAGTCATTAGTGTTTAAAGAGCAGCTCTGTCCTCTTAACAATAAATAAGAACCCAAATTATTTAGTCCAGTGGGTCTCAGAATTAAAAAATCCACACACTCTATCATGCCATGCCTCCCAGCAAGTTAGATTTGGGCACACACTCCTCTCACATCCACATGCCCACTCCACCCCAACACAACATCTTTAAAGTTCAAATATAAAATTATAAATATTCTAGCTCCTTAACCCGCATTCTTCATGTGTCCCTTTCAAAACTATATCCTTCCCAGTGTGAAGCAAGAACCACCTTCCCCTTAATGGCCAGCGATTCCATCAAGCCTTTAAAGCTTGTTAGGACCCTGTCTCCAGCCATTTGAAATCTCCCCCAGGTTTTTGTTTCTGTTTGTTTGTTTGTTTTAACAAACAACAGGATCTCACTATGTAGCACTGACTGTCCCAGAACTTGCTATGAAAACCAGGCTGGCCTTAAACTCACAGAGCTCCACTTGCCACTGCCTCCCAAGTGCTGGGATTAAAGGCATGCACCATGGTCCCTGGCTTCCTCCAGTGTTTTTTTTTTTTTTTTTTTTTTTTTTTTTTTTAGACGGTCTCCCAGTAGCCCCAGCTGACCTGTAACTCACTATGTAGTAGACCAGGTTATGTATAAAACATTACCCTAAGCCTTCATGTAGATAAATATGAAGAAGAACATGGCCTTCCTTTAGAGCTTATAATTTAGTTGTCTTGCTATGAAATTTTTGAAACATTCCACGTCGCTCCTGACAGGATGCTGTGATTTTAGGGAAAAATTCTGGCATCCTCCAAACCCCATCTGTATTTACAATGAGAGATCTCTTGGGAGCTCCACTAATGGAACAATGCAAGCTGCCTGGTATTGCTGGCCTCTTGTCACTGTGGTCTCAGAAATGCTTCTGGGGAGAAGCTACTAGCTTCCTTCTGTTCATTGTGCATCCCCCTTCCCTTTTTATAAATACTTTTTCAGCCCCAGCCTGAAGAAAGGAATGCAAGAGGTAGTCAGGATGATGCGTTCTTAATTCCATTAGGAAAATATTGCAGGATTGATTTATGTCTTTTTCAAACTATTTCTGAAGTAAGCAACCACCACAAGACGGTACTTCTCATACAGATAGCTCTCAGCTCTGTCATTTTCATGATATTATATTATTTTGTTATAAATTAATGTACTTGAAAAACAGCTAACAAAATAAAATTCATGAAATTCCAATAGCCCTCTTTGAAAAGAATTTTCACTCCTTTAAAATCTATGTCTATGTAAATACATGTGCCTAAACGAATTTGGAATGGAGTATATACAGTTTTCCTGTTTTTTTTGTTGTTGTTGTTTTGTTTTGTTTTTTACTTCTACTTTGTTCACAGAATATTTTCCCACATCATTAAAATTACTTGAAACCATAATGGCTGCATTATTCCACTTTTTGCTTCTTGAAGTGAGCCTGGGAATGGGCCAGGAGCTGACGGCAAGGAAAGAATGACCATAAGATCCTGCACTTTGGAAAGCAGTTTAATGTTTGTGATGTTTTTAACCAAAAGTCTCAGCAAATGAATAAAAATTAGAATGAGAAATTGAGAAACTTTGGTATTATGCTTTCAGTGGTGTTTATTATCAAAGCATATCAAACCTAAGGGAACGCCTCTTCTAAAAAGCCACTATGAAGCTTTTCAGAATGTACCACATCCATTTACAGTCCTAGTGGATGCACATGATTGGACTTCAGTACAGAGTCAGCAGCAAATGCGAGCATGCAGGGCAATAGTCTACCTCTCTCTAATTGTGCTTTGTAGTTAGAGTGATAGCATTATCCAATTGCCTTATTATTGAATCAGTATTTGAGCCTATATACTGTGTGAATAGGAGCCAAGCTCAGAGATGTGTCATCTGTTCCTACTTGAAGTTTTCCATAAGGCTGACTTGCCCATACAGAATCCTCAAGGCTTCATGGATCTTCTCCCAAAGTTGCTTAAGTGATGAACATTGTGGGGCAAGACTTTTGGATCAGAGCATTCCAAGGTTAAAAGGAAGCTGGGAAACCTTTAACTTTATTGAAACACAAAACAGAACCATCTAGTCCTTGGTGCTAATTGAAAGCTGAAAAATCAGGCATATCAGATTTGAATAGGATACACAGATATGACTATCTCATAGTGGCTATAATCCTATTACTGTGAATTCTGTTTCAATCAGACAATGAATAACTATTGTGGTTTCATGGGGTACCATAACAGTTACCACAGAATTGGTGACTTCAAACAACTGAAATGTATTGCAGGCCAACGATGTAAAATCAAGG